GAGGAACATTCGATGAAGCTGTGGCAATACACAAGACACAAGGGGATATTTTCTCCTTCCTCTTCTTTCTTCTCTCTTCTTTCTTCCTTCTTCCTTTCCCTATTCTTTCATTCCTTTTTCTTCTTTCTTTACATCATCCTCTCTTTTTTTTCTCTTTGTCTTTCCATGTTCGGTTCGTATTTATTTTTTTTACGCCTGACTGATGTTTGTTTATTGATTTCGTTTACAGTTTTTTTTTCAGACAATGCATTTGTTTCACAGCTGCCTGATTCCTCTGCATAGTTTGACTCCAACATTCTGAGCGTATCTTTTTTATCAAAACTGTTGTATCCCTGCATTGAAAAGCCATCAATTTAATATTATTTGCGCGAATTAGCTCTTTGCCATTTTTTTTTTTTTTTTTTTTTTTGAAAATTACAGCCTTTTTAGGTTCTGTCTTCCTTCTTCCACCTCCATTTATTTCTTCTCCCTTGCTTTTTTACTCATTCATTTCTTTGTTTCTCATATTCAGCTGCAACCTCCTCCTCCATCTAACCTCCCCCCTCCTCCTCCTCCTCCTCCCCCCTTCTTCCTCCCTTATCCTTTATCCTTAAATTGAGAAAAAATAAGCAAAATGAAACCATGGGGAATGAGGCGGCCAGAAAACAGCGCAGAGAGGCCAGAGCGAGTACCCGACCCGAACACAGGCGGCCCGAGAGAACACAGACCGAAGAACTCAAGGTCGACACAGCACCCATTAAAATAGCTTTGAAAAATTACGCGGTTATGTATACACACTGCACACTCACGCTCCCCTGTTCTCTTACCTTACCTCGCCCCTTCTGTCTCTTACCCTACGCCTTCTCCATCTTACCCTACCTTACTACTTCTCTTTTATCCTCGTTTATTTACTTTTTCCTTTTTCCATACTATGCAAGTTCATCTATCAGCTTTCCCCTACTCTTGCCTGCCGTTCACCTGCCCCACTACCTGTCCCTTACCCATTTTACCTATTCACATATTCCTCTCCCCCGAACCTCCCTCTCCCTATTTCATCTACCCTTTCCTCCTTGCCTATTCTATCTACCCTCTCTTCCCTACCTATTCCATCTACCCTCTCCTCCCTACCTATTCTCTCTACCCTGTCTCCCCTACCTATTTCATCTACCCTCTCCTCCCAACCTATTCCATCTACCCTACCCCTTACCCTATTTCTGTCTAACCCCCTTTACCTACCCTACCCCTTAATCCCCTTCACCTATTCCCTACCTCTCCTATCCCCTCATTTGTTTATAATACATTAGACTATCTCTAAGTCACATACACATGATTAAAAAAAGAACAAACAAATCGAAGAATGATAAAATACGAAAAAAGGGACAGCAAAAACACACAAAAAGTCTAATACCAGTCAAAAAATAAAGTGAAAAAAGAACAAAAAATTAACGCCCTACATTGTCACTCAACAGAACAACCGCCCATCTCTCACAGGCTTGACAATGCGTGGGCGGCTGCATAACACACTCACATACACGGAGAGAGCTCTATAAACCCCGTCCATTCTGCTTGCATTCCGACACGCCCCCCTGTTCACGGCCACGCCCACTTTCTTCGACAAAGCATCCCAAGTGTCTGGCTTTTGAACCCTGGGACATGAGGGGCATCAGCTGGAGAGGGGGAAGGAGGGGGGGAGAGGGGGAGGCAGGAGGAGGAGGAGGAGGAGGAGGAGGAGGAGGAGGAGGAGGG